GGCCCGCACGCCATCCCGGTCCGGGCCCTGAGCCCCGCGGTGTCCCCGGGAAACCCGCCCCCGCCGCCGCCTGCCCCGCGCCGCGCGGTCCGGGCACCCCTCAGGGCCTTGCTCTGCCCTGCCCTCAGCCGGCTGCGGCACGTGACTGCGGGCCGGCGCAGCTGATTGGCTGCGCTGAGGGTTCCGGCTCTGGGTGGGGTCTGTGCAGCCCAGGTGGGTCGCGCGTGGGGGTCTCCTTTCACTGCGTCGCACTGCATTGCAGCCCCCCCCCCCGCAGTGCTGCCTCCTTGCGTTGCGCCCCCAGGAGCGCGCTCAGGGCAGGGGCAGCCCCCCATGCCCACACTGCAAGGGCATTGGGCTCGTTGCATGCTCCCAGCTCCTGCCTCTTGTGGCTGTGCAGTGCCAGGCCTTTGCCTTCCCCGCTGCTGTGCATGTCTTTCCACCCCCTTGCTGCGTGGTTGCTTCTGGTTCTTAGCTGCCTTTTTCCCCCACCCCAGGTAGGAACTGAGTGGAGCTGGGGGACCCCTGGTGCCCTTGTCCCTGCACTGTCCACACCGCCAACAGGATGCAGCGGAGATGATCGCTGAGCCCAGCAGTGCCATTGCCGCCAGCCACCAGTAAGTCCAGGCAGCCGTGGCTGCAGTGCTTCAGGGCAGGGCTGGGCAGCTGGTGGCCCGTGAAGGGTTAATGTGTTTAACCCCTCTGCTTCTTGCCTACTCTGTCGCTCCTGTCTTTATGGTGGGGGCTGGGGTCTTCGGGGCAGGCAGCAGGGCTCATGGGGGGCACATCTGGCAGCAGAGGGGGCCTTGCATTGTACACACAGCAGTGCTGGCAGAAGGGGCACGTGGTGGCAGTGCAGGGGGTGGGCTTGCACAGCTGGCAGGGTGGAGGGTGTGCAACAGCAGCGGGGTGGGCGGGAGATCTTGTGTGGCTGGGGACTGGTTGTGCCACAGTACTAGGGGGCTCACCCATGCAGTGGTGGCAGTTGGGGGAGTTCAGGCAGCAGATGGGCTATGCATTGGCACGGGGTCCAGGAGCCTGCAGGCTGTATAGCCTATGACCCATGACTAATGCTGGTCTGAAACCAGACAGCCCTGCTTGGGGCATTGCCTCTGCAGTGACAGGGTGGGTTCATGCTGCATGGCTGTTTAGGCCAGGTTTTTTTGTCTGTGATCTGCTCTTACTGTTCCACTGACTGCTTCCTCTGTCCCTTCCTTTTAAGTAGATTGTGCCTTCATCTAGTCCAGTGGCTCTCAACCTTTTTTGTACCAGGACCCATTTGCAAGCATAGATGGCCAGTCCTGATCCAGTACCCTTCACTGCTCCTGCCCCAGACCCTAGTCCCCCAAGTATGTGGGACCCCAAGCAGTCTCAGCCTGCGAGGAAAAAGCCACGGTTTCCCATGTTTTTCTCCTTTAAAGAAGAATCCATTTTTAAAGTTTACTCACAACCCTTTCATATATTCTTGCGACTCACTTTTAGTTTGCAACCCATGGGTTGAGAAACACTGATCTAGTACATTTGTTCCATGCCTTTGATCTGCTTTGGCTTTACCATGGGTGCACTTGCACATCTAACCTTCAGACTCCTAGTCTAACCTTGCTGTTTGTTTACTATGAGAGATACTATCCCTTGGCAAGGTGACATGTAAGCTAGATGCATCTAGAACAGTATTTGGAAACCTCAAGGAATAGGAGTGGCAAACAAAAGCAGAATTAAGAACTGGACAATAATTGTCTAGATTTACAAGAGAGGAGGAGGAGCTTTGTACATGCACTACCCCTTTCTGTATGTCTTTGCATCCTTGTTAAGCCTTGTAAAATATAATCAATTGCTTGATGATCCGTCAGCTCCTGAACAAGCCACTAGCAAGTGGACCATATTGTGAAGATTAGTGCAAGGTACAGATGTGCTCATGATCCTTGAGCAGCAAAGTCTAAAAGTCAAAGCTACTAGCAGATGGAGAAGGAGTCTTAGCCGTGCTTCCCTTTTTCTGATTTCTCACTGAAACAAGATGAGCGCTCATTTGTAATCATAGAATCCAAGATCATTTTTAGGTACAGAAGGATGGTGGTGATTTTAAAGATGTCAGATGCACATCTATGCTTTCAAAACATGGCATGGGAAATTTGCATGTAGACACCCACACATTCTTCAAAGGCCTTCCTCTGAGGTTTCATATGAAATCTTTCTGCGCTACCAGTTGTAACGGTATGTACATTCATTCTCAAGCCATAGCTGTCTTTTCTGTGACACAGGATACAGGAATTTAATTCAGTTTGAAAATATTTTAAACAATTCTAATATTTTAACTATGAATAAAGATTTGTCAAAAACAAAAATCACATCCATTTAATTTAGTTTAGTAGTGCCAGCTAAATGGCCCCAAATTTGTGTCTGAATCCTGCACCTACTTAAACAGATCATCATATCATGGAATTATAGGCTTGGAAAGGACCTCAAGGATCATCTAGTTCAACCTCCTGCATGACTACTATTTCTAAAGCATCCCTATCCAGCCTCCAGATGCATCCCTTTTTCATCAAGAAAGCCTAAAGAAAACATATACTTATGTTTTTGTAAAATGTAGGTCTTAAGTTGTGGTTAAAAGCTCTCTACCAAAAAAAAACATAAACATTTTGAGAGACAGGAACTTTGCCACTTACCAGAAAGAGAAATTGTCATATTTAAGTACAAGACAAGGTTTTTTTCCCCTCAGTCAGCCTGGAAACAAGGCCCTTCTCATATATTCACCCACAAGGAAACCTTGTTAAATACATTGTCTATTATTAAACTGCTGGCAGAAGCAGCATATGGAATGCTGGAATGGGATAGAAATGGAGTGGAATGGCATAGCGATGGAAGCCAACTGTGAAGCTGATTAAGTGCAGCCAGCACTGAGCGTGACAATAAAATACATAGCCTATACTGGGCAAACATGCAGATGGGAACCTACTGCAAAGATAGGTTAGTGCAGGTGTGGGCAGTTATTTGGGCCTGAGGGCCACTTGGGTAATTTTTATAAGCTGTCATGGGCTGGGTCAGCATTTCCCTCCCCCTTTCCCCAAACAACTTGTCAAAACTCCCCATGGGGCTTTGAGTGGGCAGGGAGCAGTGTTTGAGAGCAAGACGGGCGTGATCCACTCCCTGCACGCCCTGCCCTGTGTGGTGGGGGTGTGCACAGGGATGTGTGTGTATGTGGGTGAGAGGGGCTTCCTGGGAGCCAGCTGGGGGTGAGGGGAGGCAGGGGGTTTGTGAAATGCTGTTCACTCTGCTGGGGCCCAGCCCAATGAACTATATGATAAATTATGAGGCTTTTGGTTTTGGATTAATATCATGCATAGTTTGTACTACCTATAAGTAGGTGCCAGAGGGCTGCTTAAAAGTGTGTATATGGTGTACCTGTGCTAAAACTTGCAGCAGTTTCCAAAAAAGGCGAAATGCATCAATTCTGGATGAACTTGTTCTATGGGTACTATGTGCAAATTGCTACAGCTATGTTTATTTGGAAGGTCAGCGTTTTCAAATTTGCTCCTCACTTCTTTGTGCTCAGAGAAAGCAGGGTTTGACAGTAAAGATAGGGGGAAGGGGCTGCAGGGGGAAGAAATTGAAGGAGGCAGAGGGCAAGGGGACTGTTTGATCCCCCAGATTTATTTTCCCTCTAGTAGTGGGAAGGGGATGATTCAAGACAAAACTTCAATAATTAGATTCTATACCTGGAAAATTATACTGAATTTATAAATTTTATAGAAGTTAATTATTGTGGATTCATCTTATAATCAGAGTGGTCTTGTGTTTGAGTAAATATGGTATATGAGGACCCAAATACTTGCTAACGGATACAAAATAAATCTGCCTGAGTGATCCAGGGAACTAAAAACTTTAGACAGAGTTAGTATGGCTCAGATTCTTTGTGCTGTGGTATGCATGTATGGGTATATATGTGTACCTGTGTACATGCACATACATAAAATGCATGCACATGCATATACCCACATGCACAGTAATGCCTAAAGATCTATATTGCCTAAACTTCCAAATCAGTAAAAACTTGCATATTGGCCCTGTATGTATCTTTGAGCATTATTGGACAGTAAGATAACCAGTTCCTGTGCCACAGCTTTCTAAATAGAAACCTTACAGACAATAAAAAGGAGGGAGAGAAAGGAAAACACGTTTTTTTTCTTTCCAGTTACTTTGACTTGTTTTATTGGTTCTTCCTAACTTGGTGGGGTTTGATGGTTTGTATGTTGCAGCTTGTGATGTTGCTTTACAAGAGTGTCCTGATAATTCAAATGATGTAGAAGGTTTTGGTACAGGTACTCTTCACTTAATGTTGTCGTGGTTAACATTGTTTTGTTATTACGTTGCTGATTTATTAGAAATCATACTCGTTTAAAGTCACGCAGCATTTGGTATAGCGTTGTTTGGCCGCCACCTGCTAGTAGGTAACTACTGTGATGTAATTGGATTCGCTTAACATAGTTTTGCTTAAAATCGCATTTTTCAAGAATGTAACTATGACATTAAGTGAGGAGTAGCTGTATTTTGGTGTTTGTCTGTCCCTTACAGGCTAGTTGGCATAGACAAGAAGAAAAAGATTTATTTTGTATATATCGTGGCAGTCCAACTGGTGACCTGCTGGCCACGTGCTGCTGCTCATACCATTACTCTGGCTGCAACAGCAGCTGGAGCGAGCGTCTGGGTTCCCATTCCCGCCTCGAGTTGCTGCTTCCTGCCTTTGCTCCAAGAGGTGGGGTAATGTGGCACTCTGTGTGGGGGGATGAGGGGGAGTCTGAGGCTGCACGGGGGGAGTTGCAGGAAGCAAGGGGATGCCCGTGTGGACATGCAGTGCAGCAAGGGGTGGGGCGGGGGAGAGTCTTCATGGTGCACAGCCCATCGACCTGTGCCTCACCTGATGTGAACTACACAGCTTGCAAGTCCCTGGAGGGGACATTCCCCAGGGGGATACAAATTGGACAATCCTGGGTTGAGTGAAGAATGTTTGTAGAGTCGCAGCATAACGATCAGGGAAAATTATGTGTTGAAGCTCCTGGTCAGCAGTCTTCCTCTATATTTTGCAGCCTTGGGAAGCATGCCATGCCACACCCTGTCCTTTCAGTTGCATCATTTGCACACTGCTGTAGGCACCTTGTAATCTCTTGACCTGGCACCAGTCCCAGCAAGTCTTTCTTTCTTGGAGTAATATATTAATATCATGTGTCACTTCTTAACCTGACAGGGTAAATACCATGTATCTGTGTCTAGGAAGGCAGTTTTCTTGAACCGCTTCGCAGGAGAACTGCTCTTCTAGTGTGGTTCAGTACCTGCCAAGGTGCAGTGGCTTTAAGCCCGGTTTATGAAAATGGGAGTCTCCTCTCTTGCTTGCTCTGGGGGCCTTATGGCTGAGGGCAAGCAAAACTTGGGGGCATCTGAACCCCAAGCCTCCAGGCTTTGGCCTGCAAGTTGGATGCTTACTAAAGGTTTTGGAAACATCTGAAGCCCCAGGTGTGGGTGGAGGATGTTTGCTGGTAGTAGGGCCACTTATGGTTCTGGACACTTGGATTTGGAATTAGTTTTAGCTAATTTGGCTGTGGATACAAATTATTTAAAAACAAAACAAAAACAGAAACAAAAAACATGGCATAGGCCAACTCCCTCCCTGCTCTTACCCTACTGAATTTAGAGATGATTTTCCCATCAGTAGGTCACTTTTAAGACTTCTGTGTTGTTCCTGGGGAAAGGTCTGCATGCTATAAGCTAGTGTGGCCCATGTGATCCTGCAGGTGAGAATAGATGAGCTGATGGTTTTTCTTGGCTTTAAAAGCTAAGAATCTTTATAATGTCAGTGATCTTTGGTACAAGTAAATTGCTGAGAAAAACTGTAAAATATTGGAGACGAGCATTGAGTTTTAATTGTGGCAAGTAGTGAAGTACTGAACATCATCTGTGTTGCAGTTCTAGAAAAATAGCACAGGTAACATGTTAGCTCAACCCCAGCTTCAAAACCTGGTCGGAGACAAAGAAATTGTGTAGAAGAGAAAAACAGAAGAATGTTTTTGGATATATTTTTAAATTAATTTGTGAGCTATAGAGAATTAATGTGTGACAGGTTCCAACTGAAAGCAGGAAAACAGTCCTTATTAGAAGAATAAGCTAAAAATGTTTCTTTTTTTTAGTATCTATGGGTTGAACTAGAAAGGTTTAAACAACATTTGATTGCATCATGTGGTTGCTGCTGCTCAAAAATAAAATCTAAAGAGAAGCATCTGATAAGTCAAATCCAGTGGATTTTAACCTGTGGTCCTCAGAGGCTAGGAGGGGGTTGTGAAAGATGACTATGATCAATCAAAAGTATGTGAATATCCACCCTCATGATTCAAAGGGGTCTGCACCTCCATTCAAAATTTTGTAGGGGTCCGGAAATGAAAAAAGGTTGAAAACCATTTGTCTAGTACAGTAAAAGTTCCGTTAACTGGCACCTTACAAGGTGGCATGCTCTATTAACCGGTATGCTGGCTTGTAAGGTAAAGTGAAACCAGAAGTGTCCACCATGGCACTTCCAGTTTTTCCGAGCCCCCACAGCCCGGGGCAAAGCAGCCTATGCTGCTGAGCCCCCACAGCCCAGGGGCATAACAAGCTGTGTGGGGCCCGCCTCCCTGTCCCCCAGGACCCGCAGGGCCTGCGGGAGGGGCGGCAAAGCCCCGGACATGGTGGGAGAAGTGGTGGCCTGAGTAGGCAAGGATGCCTGTTTGGGCTGCTCAGTTAACCAGCATGTTTTGTTATTCAGCATTCCCCATTCCTGAGGGGATGCTAGATAACAGAGCTTTTACTGTATATAGCTGTCTTCTAGCATTAGCATTAACATTAACACTTGTGTTGCCCTGTGGGGTCAGGCCAACTCTCAGGATCTCAATATTGTGCTGTTAGACAGGAGGGTGTGACACAATTGCACATATACAAACACACAAATCAATTAGGTGCATACGCACATACGCTACCAGCTCAGGCACATACACATCCAAACCAGCGTAGGCACATGCATACATATCACCAATTCAAACACATACACTATACACCCCAAAAGGTAGACACAGATCACTAATTCATATATCATGCATGCAATGACATACATACACACACACACAATACACCTACACACAGGTGAGTTCCTAATTTGGATGGTACAGTGTGTATGTGTGTGCTTGGGGTATCTGGGGGAAGGTTCAGGTGAGAGAGAGAGATTTAAAGTGTAGGGAGTGAAAGTTGCAAGAACCAGGGTTAGAACCGGTGGACTACAGAGAAGCTGGCTGAGGAACTGAGGCTTGGGTTTACTTAAGGTAGACTGGGGCTGGGAACTGAGGCAGACAGCTGAGATTTTTGTGTGGGGGGGCAGATAAGTGGTGGCAAGGAGGAGACAGCCAGGAAAGAAATTGAGGCAGAAACCTGGTTGCTCAGGGGAAAAGGAAAAGGCAGTGGGGATAAGACAGTGGCAAAGAAACGGGCTTGGAGGCAGAGAGGAGCTCAGGACAGGTGTTTGAGGTGGAGTGAGCCTGAAGCAGGAGAGGGAGAAATGAGACAGAAGTTAGAGGAGTGAGGAGCAGATTGGAGCAGGGCCAAACCATAGTAAAGCAAAACTCAACTTAGGGGTCCAAATAACAGTTTTATTAAACAGACAACGCACTACACAGCCCCATGAAGTTTTTGGTGCACGCATGCATGCGCACACGCACTCACAATGGCAGCAGGAGAAAGAGACTCAGTGGAAGGGCTGGAGTCCAGGTAGGGAAGAGAA